CCGCCCCCCCCCCCCCTTTTTTTTTCTCCCTGATGGTATGTAATCAAATTCTATGCACCATTAAAAAACTAGCAGCCTGTCTGTGCAGCTAAACTGGAATGATGAATGATGACAACTTTATATCAAAGTTGTCAGCATGCATGGTCGTAAGCAATAACTCCTTAGAAAGGCCTGATGGACACAGATCGTCGCCTGAAAGGCCATATATTGCTAATGATATAGATTTAATTAAATAAAACATGTTTAATATTATTTTATGATATGTTATTATCTGCAGTTCTTTTGAACTAAGATTTCTATGTAGATCATATTAGATGGAGTTCTTTTTAGCTATGAAGTCTGAAAAGCATGCAATAATAAAATTGTAACAGACCAATGCATTCGTTGTGTAAGCATGAACAACTTTGTTTTACTTGGAACCAAAAACATTGTATATCTTGCACTGTTATAGATGATCACTCGTCACCAAGACCATTCCTTCCCGAGCGGTCTGGTCCCTACACCCTTTCAACTCCAGTGCTCAAGGATTTACAATTTGGGCTGCAGGTATATCGAAACTTCCTTGTTTTACGGAAGAGCCGTCTCAGTCTTGCCTGTTATTGTGGAGCCAAAGGTACAGCAACTATCTGAAAGAAATGAAGCAGGTCATGGAAATGAAGCACGAAACTAAAGATTCCAAAAATGAAATGGCAGATGAAATAATACAGAAATATAAGTTGGTAAGTGTACCATAATTTTATTGAAAGACAACTATATAATTTTTCGTTCAAAAGGTTCTCATTTATTGGACAAATCTTAGTTGTTATATGGAGCTGCCGAATTTGATGAAAGCCCTAGGAAGCTGGAAGATATCTGGGATGAAGCTCTTGCCATCTACAACAATGCTTACGACTATGCAGAGAGGTGTCAGGCTGTTGGCAGATGCAGCTTTGCCTGGAAAGTCGCAGGACGAGCATTATGCATGCTGCATGCTTCAAGACAAGGGGAAAAATGTACGATCCCTTGTTCGATAACTGCACTAAAAGAAATTCTTCGATAAAACAGATGTTGTAAAAATCATCTAATGTAGCTCTTTTAGAATCATGTAATGCATGTATTACATTTTATTAGTTGATGCTATTTGTTCTGTCGATAGTATCGTGTAAGATAAAGTACAAGATTGTGTAATTATAGATGTTACATGTTCACGCGGACAAATTTTGTATCTGTATGTTATATACTTTACTTTTCATCATTTAAAATCGGTGTTCATGGTTCTGGATGTGCTTCCTGTCATCGATTTAAGACATTTGTGGATGGGAGACATCATTGCATTTGGATTTATCTTCTTGCTCCCCAATATGGTGTATGGTGCAATTTGTATCTCTAACCAATTCAAGCTTCAACTTGTGGCTCATGTGATATGCTGCCTCAATCAATTGATATGTTGAGATTTGAGATGCTTGTGGATTGCATAGGAGATCTATATGCCTTTTTGTTGATTCAGCTTTGTTCTTCTGAAAGCTTAGTAGCTGGAAGTCAAAAAAGTAATGGCTCTACTTCTGCCCTCTTTTGAGTTGCATTGTTTATGATGGATTGTCGAGATATAAGCAACACTAAGAAAGGAAAGACGTAGTTTTTGTAGAAAACAAAGTAGAATAAATTGATCACGGGTGATGGCATTGTAAATGTGTTTATGCACATAATTATGGATCACAGAAAAAGAAATATTTGCACATAACTATTGTAAATTCAAAATACTGTTTGTAGAAATAAGAATCCCCTACTTCATGTGATTTCTTCTTCATACTAGTATGACTGAAACTACCATAGAAGGCAGCTTTGGCTGGATGATACTGACAATAAAAGGCCTTATTCATTGAGAACTGCAGTTCAATTATGACAAGAACTTCAGTTTAATTCACACTAGGGCAAGAATCTGATGTACTATATAACCTGATGCAGATATTAGGATACCGGTGTCGGAGAACAAGAGACAATGTTGTCTCAAACTGCATGGATAGGGCTGCCGCTGCTTTGGTTCAGATCAGGCATGGCAATGGAGGGGTTGATGTGAAAGGCAGACTGCCTTGAAGCAGAGGAGGAACCCAACAGTTTGAAGGAGAGAGCAGATGGCTCTATGCTCCTGGCTACACCCTCGCCAATGCGGAGCTTCGACATGCTGATGACCTCATCCATGTTCACTGGCTCCTTTCGGACAACAGGAGTTGGCTTTACAACCTCGTGGGCTTCCCCCATCGTATCATCTTTAGCAGTGGCGGCCAAATCCGAAGGCAAGAATGGCACAGGCACTGGTATGAAGGTCGGGTAGAACATTGGTAGCATCATTACCGGATGATTCTCATGTGGGATACTTTCTCTCGGTTCCACAACATGCTCGGTTGTTGAGGGTTCGATAGGCTTGGGTCCCTGTAGACCAAGATGCAAAGCTGGCAATTTATTGGTGGTCTCGACTTCAATAGGAGAATTGGGCAACAACTGTTCTTCATGTGGAGGGCCATGGTCAATCGGCTGCACGAACATTCAGACAAAGAACAAAAAAAGGAAATGTTTATATATCCATGTAGTAGTACTGCAGAACATAGAAAGAATGAAGATAAGTGACAAAGAAGCTGAACCATTTCAGGGACCATGTCAAACAAGCTGGAGCGTCTCTTTCTTCTTGAGGCATTGCTCTGTCGGATGAAATATTTTTGTGCATGGCTTGCAACTTGTGTTGGGGTTCTAGACACGACAAAGTTCCGAGCTATTCCACGCCAGTCACCTTTTCCCAGTTTCTGAAGGCCCATCAAGAACATCCGATGCTCATCTTCGGTCCAAGGGACACCTGCTAAACGGTGCACTATTAGAATATTGGTTCTCTGAATTTAATGCGAGTCTTCAACAACGAAATCTAAACCTAAATTTTAAACAGAAGAAATGTTCCATAGTTTATCACAATTTAGAAGGACCACGAAATAGACGAGACACGTAACCTAAACCTTCACACAAACATACAGGGAAAAGCTAAAAATTTACATGGTACGTCAACGACTAAAAATTGAAGTTCATTTCCAGGAAGTCTTGCTTGTAGTTAAAGATGTAGACATAAAACAATATTGCTCTAAATATTCATAAAACAAATAATAGAATTATCAGATCGCCATCAAGTAATTTGAGATAAGATGTCCTTCAGGAATTTATCCTACAAAAAATATCAGATATGGTTCTGGAGCTCATCGATCAGAAGAGTCCATTAAAGCATATAAGTAATCTATTATTCTATGTTATGCTAACTTCTCCATTACCGAACGTATACATCAGAATAGTTATGTGACGGTGCCAAAATAAGTTACCAAAAGTCTAACAGCTTGGAACACAAACTTGGAAAGGCTTGCAAAACCAAGTGGAACCACTGTCAAACCACAATTGAGGTGATTAATTCATCCTTAATTGTGTCAAGAATGAAGTCTGAAAATAAAGGAGCCTACAAAGTATCCATTGTGTGTACTGGGTCTTTATGTTATTATGCAATGAGTTGGATTCCTTTAAACAAGGAAAACTGATATTGATCATCAACTAGTCAAATCAACAAAAAATTTCACAAAGCCCTCAAAACATGTGAAGCTCACAAGGGTAGCATTTCCTTTTGGTCTAGAATGTCTCATCTTGTTCTCTTTCAGCTATGAGTTAGTGAATTATAGTGCAGGAAGCTGAGAACCTAACATAACCAGAAATCATGGCATGCAACACAGGCTAAAGTTGCTTGATTGCTGACATGGTACTTAAATACAGCCACAATTGATTTAAATAATCTCTCTCTATTTGCGGGTAAGGCTGCATATGCACCCCCTCCGTGGACTGTGCATTTTTGGGAGTCTCATGGATGATGCCAGCATTTTTGACTGACTTGGTTGATCTGGCAATGGGAAAATAACATGGCCTAATGTGATAGAAGCTCTTACCTCATCACTGTTCTCTGAAGATGAGAATCAGCAAATAGAGAATGACCGAAAAGACAGAACATAGTTCTTGATCCAGAAAAAGCACACACATTTCTACCTTTAATTTCTCTGTCAACAGAATTGAAGAAATCAGAGATCTCAAGCAAAAAAAAGAAACACCCAACAAGATCATTTGGCAAGCAACATGAGATTCTTAAGTGAAAGAATAGCCATCATGGGTTTACAGAATACAATAGAGCATAATAAACTAGTGAGAACAAAGATAAATATCCGAGAATGTCACAGGAAATTACATCCAAGTTACATCAACTCGCATGCAAAACAGCAGTAGAGAAAGTAGTGAATAATCCTCATAAACAAGAAAAATTTATGGAGACATGGATGAGAAGGAACCAACCAAAGATAAGGCATACTGTGTACCTCCAGCAGATCAACTTTTTAGCACAGACTGAGACGATTAGTTAGGTGAATTTGCCAGGAACAATACAATCTCATGTTGCAGGTGACGAATAATGCAGGTCGAGATGGGTTTCAGGTTTGACTATTATCTTTCTACAATTATCAAGACTGATAGTGGACATGATTCCATGGTTCGCATTACCGGTATACCAACCAGCTTGCGATACGGTACATACCAATTTATCCTGAGCATACCAAAGTATACCAATGTACCACCCATACTAGTCGGACCGGTACACACAGTCCATATCGAACAGTACGCTTTGGTACGTCAAACATTGCATGATTCTGGAATTTCCAAACCTAGACCCAAATTTAGAACTTGTGCATTAGAGATTCACAATTGCTAGGCAACCAGCTAGGCAGCAACTGCCAATCTCTGTTGAAGCAGAAACGAAGTATATTTTCTATGCACAACAGAGTATTTTCTTTTTTCCAATCGAAGTTCTCATAAAAAACTATTTGAACTAAGAAAAGAAAACTGGAATAGACTTATACTTGATGATGACATGCCACATATGCAATCAATCATATACATCATCCTAGTGGCATATAAAGTTCAGAATGGTGTAAGAAAAACTTTCACAACAAACGACAATCGATCGCTAAGAAATTGGTCTCTAAGAAGGAAAACAATAGACAAATGAAGGCGTACAAAACATAGGCTATGAAAAGACTCAAATATTAGAGTAAAATAATGAAGGCATACAGAAGAACACCTAATATGAACCCCGTGGCCCCTTGATCGAGACCATGAAACAATCACACGACCAGACTAACCATATTATGGCCTGCAAAGCGCAAACGCAGAAACTATATTTTATGGACCATCGCTTTCAATTGTGGTCACAAAATTACGTGCTAAACCCATTGGATATTATTATATGGGCCTTGCCTCGAGGTGTTGAACACATTGGACGGTTCCGAGCCGCCCACACAGACGAGTAAAGAAGGAACACTAAGAATAGGGAATCGATTAAAGAGGTAAGAAAAAGTAGCCACTCCAAACTATATAAACATGCATCCCATTGATTACAGTGTAGAAGGAAGAAACCAGAGTGACTACAAATCACGAAAAAAAAAAGAAGAAATGATAAGGTTTCTTAGAAGTTCCTCCCCGAAAAAAAAGATATTATTTAACAAGTGAAACATGAGTTCATCTTTGGTATGTAAAGTTTATTGGGTCCAAAGGAAACATCAAGATCAAAATCTATGCAACACTCAGAGAAAACCAACACAGATCACAAGGAAAACGAGACATAAAAAGACGATCCCAAGTGCACAACGATGAAAGAAACCATCTTTTTGAACAAAATAGATGAATGGAGAAAGGGAATAGATTGACCGGATGGAGATCATTAGGGAAAAGCAAGAAAGGCCGATCCTTCGACCATGGATCGATGTGAACTTGAAGGGGGAAAAGGGCGGACCTTTCTTGCGCTCGCTGCGGCAATTAGAAGAACAGGAGGCACGGGCGGGGTCATCGGAAGCGTAACCGGAGGCGGCGGAGGCGGAGTGGTGGTGGTCGACTAGCGGATCGCCGCATGGCGACGCGGCGGCACCGGCGGCGGGGGAGGACGACGCGGCGCACGCGGCGGCGGAGGTGGAGGAGGAAGGAAGGCACCCCATGCTCGCGCTCTTCTTCATGGCCGCCACCCCCTCCGCCAGCCGCACCCCAAAGAGCCGCACGCCCCCTCCCCGCGCCGGACACGTCCGGGAGTTGTGGCCGTTGTTGCTGCAGTGCGAGCACCGCCTCGTCATCTCCGCCTCCGCCGCCGCCTTTCCCCGTGCTCACGCCCTCCCCGCGTCGACCTCTCCCTCTCCGCGGAGAGAGCTGCGTCCGCGACGGAGGCGGCGGGACATTTCGGTATCAAGGCGCCGACTTCCGTGACCCCCCACGCCCTTCCACCGTAATTACGATAATGCCCTTGGATGGCGACAAGAGAACAGGGCCACCGTCCGTCGCGGGGATCATCTTTACCGTTCATTGCCTCGCGAGCCCTATCGCCCGGCTCGACGGTGTCTTTCGCTTACCCGTTTTCCTACCCTTTATCACTTGCCCGTCCCGTCCTCTGTGGGTCCCGGTCCTACGGGACAGGTACGGAATCGAGTAACGTTTGGTTTAGTGACGATGGTGCTCGTCAACGGATCTATCACGGCTTTGTCTCATGTAAATGACCGAGTGAAGTTACAATCTTACCCATAAAGGATTTAGATGACGTGGCAGCCACATGGCGGACCACGCGTTCGGCGCGACACGCCATTTGGTGGACTTCGAGAGGAGAACCGATCGCAGCCGTTGAATCCCTGACACTGGCGCCACGTGAATGATCACGTGATGCTCGTTGGGGGTACGCCCGACCCCAACTTTGTCGTCGCGCAAGGCGGTCGTTACACGTGTGCGGAAGCCACGGCGAACACGTGGTCGGTCAGGAGGATCGTGTTGCCGGAGTTGGACGAAATAACGGGAACGCCACGGTGGTGGGTGTCCGTACGGAGATGCTTCCAGAGGGGGATGGAAGGAAAGGGTGTTTACTTCTTTGGGTCAACTGGTTCTATGTAAACAGGATGTGGAGTAGAAGGACTAATTACAATATTATCTCTTATATTTATTTTATTTTTTATAATTTTTTATAATTATATATATATATATATATATATATATATATTATTTTTTATAATTTTTAAAAATAAAATAAAATATTCTTATCTATCCTAATGCTCTCAACTATATTAAAGAAAAACACTGACACCAATATGCTATATATAAATGATGGATAAAAAATTAATTTTAATATTATTATTTTTAATAATTTATTAATAAAAAGTTAATTTGAGAGCACAGGCATAACCTAAAAAAGATAGTTAACATAAGAAGAGTGTTAATTGTAAAGATTAAATTACATGAGAGAACTGACATAACATATGATATATTTATTATTTAATCAAAAATACCACTCTATACAGTGCTTAATATTGAAAAAAAATCTTCAATCATAAATATAAAACTTTGTAAGATCAGTATCAATATATTTCTCATAAAAAATAAAAAATAAAAAACTTCGGATCGATGCAAGTGTATTTAATAAACAGTAACATTTTTCATTCAAAGGAATAAGTATGACGATCAAAATTATTAAAGATTTATTTTAAATTAAAACAAAACTTTACTCTTTTTGATAATTTTTTTTGTATTTCATAAATTTAAATTCGATGATAATAAGTAAACGAATTACCGTAACTAACTCAACGGAACGAATACAAATACTCTGAATACTTTAAAAATATAAGTAAAAAATAAATGAAGAATAATAACTAAATTGGTGCAAGGAGCAGCACGAGATACTAATTACTAATGCTCTTGTGCAAAAGTAGGTTAATAATAAGCAATAGACCTAACATATATGTGACATATTTTTGATGTAATAAAAAATACTGTTTGATACAATGCTTAATATTGAAAAAGAAATACACATCATCAATCTCAAATAATTAGGGCATTGTAACAAATCATGATTAATATTGCTATTTGTG